GTATGCATCAGCAGTCATTTTGACGCCATCTGATACTCTCCATGGGCCCACTAATGTTTTTCCAATAATACCACCCCAGATCATTATGCTTCCACCGCTTTGTTGGCGTCTCAAACGCTGATGGCGATTCTGTCCGTTCATTGCCCAGCCTTTGCACCATCTATCTGGTCCATCAAATGTTGCTCGAGTTTCATCTGTGAACAAAACTTTAGAGAAGTCAATCTTCATATTGTCCTCGGCCCATTTCAATCGATTTTGAATGTGATTTCTCGTCAACGAAGGCTTCGATACAGGTTTGACTGTTGTTGCTATTTCCCTCAGGTACCGACACCGAGTACTTTTCGACACAGTAGGATCTCCAATGCGACTGATAAGTTCTTGACTGGTAAGTCCAGGGTTCTTCGTGGCCTCTTGTTTGTCGTGACATGAGACGACGTGAAATAACCCTCGGCTTGCCTTTATCTGCCCTTTTGCGTACTTGTGTCGGGGCGGCGGTGAACTTTTTCACTGTTTGATGACACCTCCCTATCATTTTAGAAATTTCTAGGGTAGATTTACCTTTTGAGATTTCTGAGGCGATAATTTTCTTTTCAGCATCACTTAAACTGCTTTTACGGTCCATCATTTCACTAAATTCTTACACTTTACTAATAATGTGGCACGCTCAAATCACCATGCTGATAACAAATATGGCGCCAGTTTGTTTACATTGCGCAGATCAGTACAAAAATTTCAGTGATTGCGCAGGTCAGTGTTACTAACATTGTGTGAAGATTTTGTGTGAATTGATTGGACGGTTTTTGAAATATTACAAAAATTTATCTTGATAATAACTTGGCACGCAGTGTATATATGGTCTGAAGATTGTACTGAAGTATGAACAGAATGTCACTGCTTGGTCTCAGTGTCCACTTTTACATTTGCATACACTCTATCACTGATATTGACCACTTTTACTCATACATAGTGCGTACCTTTTGAACTAGATTTTTATTATATATATATATATATATATATATATATATATAGAGAGAGAGAGAGAGAGAGACAGGGGGGGAGAGTTAATTCCGTTGAAATAGGGCTTAAAAGAAATAGTATCATTTGTCAAAATTAAGCGCTTAAATGATGCAAAACAATTTATGAATATTTTAAATAGTTTTGTCATTAAGACTGTATTGCAGAGACTATAAAAGATTTTACACTGTTTAATGAGTCAGAAAGCAAATATATATACTGAAACTAAAATGAAAGCCAATATTCTGACAGCATAAATGAATCAGTGTCTTGTGCCAAATCAAATGAAACTGCTTAAAATAAATACATCAAGCTCTAAGCAAAACAAAGATAAGATGCTGTAAAAAGGATCTTCTATGTTCTAATGATTAAACAGTGTTTTGAGTGTACGTGGGTGATAATTGGACTTTTTTTTTGGCACGACCCATTTTCAAAAAGCAGTATTTTAATGATCAAACATACTGATTTTCAAACGTGGCGCAGAGGACTTTTCCGCGCCTCTTCGTCGACTTTCATTCTATTTTACTTCTAGCGTTTTTTGTTTTTTGTTTGTTTTGTTTTTTTGTTTTTGTTTTGTATTTTTTAAATAATTTTATTGTTCTGAATTTTTTATCTTTCCAGGTTCTTTTATTTCATTAATAACGAAAAAGTTATTTTTACACATGGTGTAATTCGAATAATATAACAGGAAATATTCCGTGAAGTTTGAACTGAATGTTTAGTACAGGGTGCGACTGCTATTTGAGGACATTTTTAGTATGTTAAATAAATAGCAATATCTTAGCAAACAATGTATATATTTAATTCAAATTGGCACAAATATCCTTCATGATACTTTATCTAATTATTCTATGAAACCACCTTTGGCTTCAATGACTGCTTCTATTCATTCTTGAAACCGTCCACGAGCTGCAATTAAGTTGTCCCTATTCATTTTGGACATCACCTGGACAGTGGCGGCCTTCAATGCAGCTATGGTACTATGAGGATGTCTCCCTTTCAACGACGCTCCACACGTCCATAGGATTTAAATCTGGCGAGTTAGGTGGGGTCACATGTTGGGGGTCACATGATCGTAAAAATTCTCTGATAACCAATCCTAGGTTACAATGGCTTTGTGAGAAGGTGCAGAGTCTTGTTAAAAGACATATGGACTTCCATTGCATACTTTATTTATCTAGGGCTTAACAACCGTTTTAAGGACATTAATGTATCCAGCAGCATTCACCCTAAGACCTTGTGGGAAAATGTAAGGTGGCATGACATGACCTTCACTGCTCACAACTCCTAAAACTATCACAATAGCCGGATATTTGGTGCGCCTCACCTTGGGTACTTCAGAAGGAGATGCACATAGCCACCTGTCATTCCATCTGTTTGTTTTCTGATCTTGGTCAAAGATTTTTTCGTCAGAGAAAAACCAAATCATGCCATGTTCGTGGGGAATTTTCACTTTGTTCAGCAACCATTTTGAACGCATGAGACGGTTTTCCTGTGTCTTTGCCGATATGAATTGCCCTTTCCACATTACATATAAATGTCCTGATGTACCACGGTTCTGATACTCTATCTGATACCTGGAATTCTTTAGTGATAGACGTCATTGTTCTTCCGGGGTTCTCATCAATGATGTTTTGAACACTCCGTATAAATTCTGGTGTTCTCACGGTATCAGAGCGCTGTGAATGCTTTTTTTTTCTTTTTGTTACAGGGGAAACATTGCCATCGCATTCCTCTAGCTCCAACCGAACCTTATGAATAAATGATCTGGCAACATGTAAAAAGTTGATTTCTAAATTACTATATTTTGCATCTAAAGCAATAATGGCTACATGTCTTTTCATTTCTTGGGTTAACATCTTCCTCTGATTGGATTATCTGAAATAAAAAAATAATATTATAAATGATTTGAGTGTGTAGTGAACTTAAAACAATATGTCCTCAAATAGCACTCGCACCCTGTATGAAGTAACTTTGACATATTTGGGAAGCATATTAAAATAACCCAGAAGCTATACTGGAAGAAAACCACCTGCATACGGATGGAAAATAAATTCATTAAAGGGGTGTAAGACAAGGATTTATCGTCTCACCGGACTTATTCAAACTTTGCAGTGAAGCAATTCTCAAAGAATTAGATATCCTATCAGGATCCATTGTTGGCGGCCACCATTTTAACAACTTAAGATATGCAGATGACACAGTGTTGATAGCAGATACATAAAGGAAACTACAAGAATTCCTACAGAAGGTAATGAAGGAAAGCGGGAAGAAAGGACTAACCATCAGTTGTAAGAAGACATAATGCATGGTTGTAAGCAAAAGCAAAAAACCAACATTCAAATTACAAATTGGAGATGCCATAATCAAACAAATATATAATTCTAAATATCTGGGAATTATTTTTAAACAAAGGACAGATAGTAGGAAACTGAGATCAGAATCTGAAATCTGTTCCGTAATATCAGTCTTCTTGTATGGTAATGAATGCTGAACAATCTCCTTACAAATGAATAATAGACTAGAAGCAACAGAAATCTGGTTCTACAGAAGGATGCTGAGGATACCGTAAATAAAGCATGTGAGCAACTAGTAAATTTTAGAGAAAATGGAAACAAAACGGTCACTTATATTCAACATCCGAAAGAGACAGTTGATATTTTAACGCACATAATAAAAAGAGGACTTTTATACTCCCTGGACAGATTGAAGGCAAGTATAGCAGAGTAAAACAACACTTAACCTACCTAGCGAGCTTGAATAGAGATGGCGGAACAAGTTTTAGGAGAGATAACAAAAAAGATTTTATTAAGAGCTACAAAGAACAAGGAATTGTTGAGAGTCATGATTGCTTACTTCCTGAATGGGATATGGCATATAGAAGAATTATCCCTGTTTGTCGTTGTGGTATTTTTCCTCCATACATTTGCGCACAATTTTTTAATTAGTTTACCCGTTCAAATAGCTTATCCAAAATTGTGGAGAGCCATGATCTGCAATGTCTTGAAGCGAAATGGCATATAGAAGAAGTGTTATATAAGTTAGGCACACCTCCAAATGGATAGAGCTAGTCTGAACTCTGAACTATCGAAATAGCTTATGAGATACACACAATAGCCACTTTAACACTCAAAAAGATACATCATATTCATTCATTAAACTTAAGGTGTCACAGGTTCACAGAAGTAGAGTAATTTGTCAGAATTGAACTCAAGACAAGATCACGTGATCTGTGGTACGAGTTTGCTCGCCATCGCGCTTTGATAAGTGCAGATGTAATTCTTGCATTTCTCATTTTCTTATGATTAAATATTCATAATTGTAGCTCAGCATGTTCTCTGGAAGAGAAAATGAAAAATGGTTTTGTTCAATACACTTTGTAGATATCCTAGATATTTACAAGTACCCAGTAAAGAATGAACTCGTTAGTAATATCTTGCGAAACTAGCTTTCTAACCATTGATCCCCGATTGACACCCTTTGTAGCTGACACGGTGTTGTATGAAGAAGATCGGATCTGTCCAGAAAGGGAATACATACCCAACAATAAAGATGCGCATCTTAAGATAACGATCAAAGTTTTGGCAAGAATGAGACTTGTGCCAACCGCAATTATGCAGATGTGTGCACTCATTATCATATCTGCATTACTTTTGCAATACATGCATGTATTGATTCTTGCGCAGGCGATCAAACACAAAAAGGAAATAATTCCCCCGTGTTAAGTTTGATGGAGATTAATCTCTTGCCATCAAATGATTGATGCTCCAACTTGAGGCTGTAAAGTAATTATTAAATAATCCTCCTTGCATCTTCAGGGAAAGCAATGAATAAAACATCTTAACACTTCCTTACATATTAATGGCTGCTATTCGCGATATTTTCCCTGCCATTTTGATGCACAAATGAATTCAGAAATATATAACATATAGTGTTTATGTCGGAAGTGTGAGGAGATTTTTAAGACTTTTATACCAATTTTTATAATGCCTTATATATCTTTCCGAAGGTAAAGTCTGCCGAACGGAAATTGGAATCGGTAGACTGAGTTCGATTTTGTTTATTTCTTTTAATACAGGCATGAATACTTATATCCTTGATCACTGTCCCATCACCAGATCTATTGGCAAATATTCGTATAACTACCATGCAATAATGGATGACAGAAAATGATTTAGCCTTTTGTCAAATTACTCACCCATGACTAAGCATGCACTAGAGGCAAAAACCTTATTGTCAAACGTAATAGTTTTTTTTTACTAAATGTTCACCCCATACAAGATCCAAGAGCCACTCAAGGCTGTTGTATGGACATAAGAAGAGGACGTAAGTGCAGATTATAAGGATATGTAAGATAGATAATGGTTGACCCGAGACTTGAATAGGTTAAGATTATAGCGATTGGGGCAGCTTCTTCTTGGGAATCTGTTTCACAAAGTACCGTTCCTCAGAAAGAAGCTGTCCGAATGGCACTTCCTCGTTACCAATGGAATATGAAAGGAATGCCAGTGATTCGACCCAGTTTATGTGGCATGGCGAGTCTTAGCTGCAAATGTTTGAACTGACGGAACTAAGGAATGCAGCTCCATTTTTAGTCTAATGTGACTCTTGCAAAAGATAGAGCATGATAGGAGGACCATATATGGTCAAGGGTGAATAGGTAAGGATCTTCATTGAGAGTAGCAGCGCTCATCATAACGAGAACATTCAGGGTCTGATCAATGTTGGTTTAGGTGGCATTGAATGATTCAATGGTAAATAAAATAAGGATGGCGTGCTTTTAAACTATATTCCTAATAAAAGCCAGAGAAAACAAAAACTCAAAGAAAAAAAATAATTGTTCCTCAATTTATTCAGACGAATACTATTCATATGTTTGCACAATTATAGCCAGATTTTAGTTTAGTCTGGTACAGGTTTAAAATAATGAAGCACTCTGCGAAACCTAACCCCTTTTTGTTGATGGCATACTAAAGTACATATAAGAATTCCTCTATAATAATCATTCATCTCTTCGACCTGATAGGGGAAAATATCGTTCAGCGAGAAAACTCCAACAAATAACTTCTCTGTTGTCATGTTCGATCATAAGTTTAAAAATATTTGTTAGTCTTTGAGTCACAACTTTCATATAATATAAATTATGACGAAAATGTTGCTTATTTTCTTCTACCTTCAATATGAGAAGCAATAGGCAAAAATAGGCTAATTTTGATCATTTTAAATGCATGATAATATGAATCAAAAACTATCTTTTCGAAGGAATTATCTAAAATTAAACTCATCTAATGAATTCCAGACACAGAGTCAAAATTTTGTCCAATGCGATATTATTGTTTATCGAGGGAATCTCTTGGCGTGATATGTTTTAATGCCTTGCCAGTAACTGAAAAATTTACGAGCTGACATATCAAAATATTTATAACGGACTTACCTAGAGACAACCAGTATTGACATATACATATATGTGATATTGAATATTTTTATTAGTACCAATATATATATATATATATATATATATATATATATATGTACTAATCAATTCACCCCAAGCAAGGCGATGACGTCACTAAGGCGCAAGAACCTCTTGGAGTGAAAGAGAATGAAAAAGACTGTAGAAGAAACCGGAAACCCAATCCTAAACAGGAAACAAAGATAAACCGCTACTCGTGTTTAAAAGACAGGGGAGGAGTGCGAACAGGATGATAGGCGAACCTCTTTACTCCAATTGAGGAAATAAATAAATAAATAGTAAATAAAATTTCAGAGTTTAGGTGGAGGCGTTAGAAGTATACAGTTGAAGTAAACATTTGAAAGAACCGGAAACCCAATCTTTAACAGGAAACAAGGGATAAACCCCTACTCCTGTATACCGGAGTGGAGTAAGAATCGGATGATAAGCTAACCTATAATCTCCTATACATATAACTCTTGACCAACTGCCAACAAAACTAATGCTACAATGGACTGATTAAAATATGACTAAAATTATTCAAAACTTAATTTCTCTTCCCTAATAAACAGTTGCGATATTTTCTGAAACTCATTTCACGTTTGTGCCTCTCAGTTTGTGGCATCCTTTAAGGAGCTTACTTATTAATTGGCTGGCACTTTACATGTTGGAAGAATATCTTTTCATGTTTATAGAAATACAAGCTAAATTATGTTAACGTAAGGTTCAGAAAAATAACTGGTTCGGGCACGTCGCCATAGGTGATATGAAACATGTTAGTTAAGGGGATGATTACTAATGTAAAACGGGTTAGAGCCTCGCTGGGTGCTCCATATTTTATGAACTTATGACTAAGTTAAGGTTACTTGATGAGTTAAAATAGTTCCTTATTTCCTTCCGCGACAAATGATCGGCATTTGAGTCAGGATTTTCGAAGGCTGGTCCTTCACACTGGTGTAAAAAATGTCTTTCACTTGTCGTTTCACTAATTAACTCTGTATTAGATTAAAGAAAACTTCGTAAATAAACATAGAATTAGGTTTGGTTTCGTTTCGTTTATGTTTCGGCATATGAAGCTGATTGGGTTATTTAATGCCGACATGATTTTTAGGATAGGTAGATATGAATAGAATATGTATTCTTTGTAAGCAATCAGTTTTCATTGACGTATTTTTTTGTAAAGAAGGTTTTTGCCGAGAGTCAAATGTATTGCTGGTAATATTTTTTTTTTAAATGTATGGTTGGTATTTTTATTATAAAAATCTATTTTTATACTTTTACAGTGTTTTGACAACAGTTTTTCGGGTGGGAGGGTAACTATTTGCCCATAACTAGGATCCAAACAGGGTCTACCAACCGGGGAGGGTGGACCTGAGAACAAACAGCAACTAAGAGGCAGTTCCACGCTCCTCAAAACCTCCCGATCAAAGGCCTTGCTGCCGGATGTATTTTATCGTCTTACCCATGACGTAGAGAATTAGGTGGGTGAGAACGTTACTTATTTCCCATTAGTGCCAGTAGTGGGTATTCAAGCTAAGCTAAAGGTCAGAATTTTTGGCCACCGTTGGTATCAATTATTTATTTTCCTTTTTTTCGTAAAATCTCTCGCAGAAAACATTCGGAAACAATAGCACCAAATTTCTGTGTAGATTTCCGTCCCCATTTTCGTTAATAAACATTTCCTCAATTGCCTTTAATGTCAAGTGTTATGTGAATTTCACTGAGTGGTGAGTCAATATTTTAAGAAGAAGCAAAATCTCTTCATCTTTTGTGCAGCCGATTATAGCATCTCTTCGACCGTCTCGCAAGATTATCTTTCCATGTTTACTTTGTTGTTATGGAAATATATTTTGTTTTACATGTTTTTACTTCTCTTCAGGGGTATTCATTTTAGGGTTATTTTCTTTCCGTTCTTCGTTTTTAACCCAAACCTTTTGACCCAATCTCGATTTTTCTGTCTTTAACCCACCGTTCGCACTGTTTTTTTTTTTTTTCTCCTTCCTCAACTGCTTGTTTTAATCGGCAATTATTTGCGTCTTTCCCCTTTGTTCTTTTTATTCTTGTTTTTGCTTGCTTTTACTCTTATCTCCTTCTTTCGTTGTCAACATTTTTTCGTTTGTTTGTTAGTTTGTTTCTTTCTTTCTTTCTTTCTTTCTTTCTATTTGCATTCTTTTTCTCCTTATGTGTAGTTCCTTTCTCTCTTTTCCTTCCTTCTTTTTCTTCTTTGCTTACTTTTTCTACTTCTTTCTTTTTTCTCTCTCTCCATCCTTATTTATTTTTCTTTGCCAACCTTAATCGTTCAACTCTCTCTTCTTTTCAGTTTTTCATTGTCCTCTTTTCATTAAATCCATTATCACATTGTAACTTTTCTTCTTTTCATCTATAGTCACTCGCTTTTCTGTGCCATTATTTCATCCTTTTTCTTTCGTCTTTTGGTCTTTTTCACCAGTGTTGTTTATTTACATTTCTCCCCTCTCTTCTTTTTATTCTTCTTTTTATTCTACTTTTTTCATTGTCCCAATTTTTTTGTTTCTTTCTTTCTTTCCTTTTTCATTTCTTTCTTTCTTTCTTTCTTTCTTTCTTTCTTTCTTTCTTTCTTTTCTATTTCCTTTCTTTTTCTCTCTGTCTATAGTTTTTTCCCTCTTTTTCTTCCTTCCTTTTGTCGTTCCTCCTTTTTCTTCTTTGCTTACTTTTTCTGCTTCTTTCATTTTTCTATCTCTTTTTCCACCCTTATTTATTTTTCTTTTCTTCTTTTCATCTTTATTCATTCGCTTTTCTTTGCCATTATTTCATTCTTTCTTTTTCGTCGTTTGCTCTTTTTTGACCAGCATTGTTTGTTTAATAGAGAATCACACTAAGTTCACAGCCTGACAGTTTCCCGGTGGGGGTCTGATAAACTGGCTACATCCGCTATCTATCAGCCCTTCGTTTTTGTTTATTTGTAGCTAATGATCTAATTAATTTGTTACAATTCAAATCCACTGGGCATAACTAGCATTGCGCATGTTTCGATAAAGAAATTCAATCCGAAATTTTTACTGAAAATTCCTAACTCGCTTAATCAATATCACGGAGACTATTTCAAAAATAAAACGTAACCGATTTTTCACATTATTTAAACATTCTGACGTCTCAATTACTGGACTAAATCTAATTAATCTTGGAAAGAGCCATCTGAGGATCACTTCATTGTTTGAAACTTTCACTCACGGCAAAATGATGTCTCTTGGATATTTCTGCATTGTATTCCTGATCTTTTGTTATCAAATACGCAGGCCGGTAGATGTTAATTCATACAGTTTTGAAAACTTTAATGGATTGCATCACATGCAACAAAAAATAATCCATTTTTTTCAACTTCAATAAAAGTCGATGAAAAACAGACTGTTTACAACAACGTAAAGCGAAAAATGTCCTGATGGAAAATGAAATGAACCATCGTTTACCGCTCAAAAACCTGTCTGATTTCGAAACAGGTGTTGCTGTGTATTTGGTGGGAAAGGCTTTGTGTGTTACGAGCCCTCCTTTCAAAATCAGATATTGAATTCAGACAGGTATTCGACCAGTTAAAGACAGTAATCGATGAAAAGTCTCCTGAAATGTCCAACCGGAAGAAAAGTATCGTCTTCCATTCCACATTTCTTTGTAGACCCTGCAGAAACTGGTACAGCTTGACATGGATGTATTTTTATACATGCGGTACTCAGCTGATTTTGCATCTCCTGATTATCACTTATTTCGATCACTGCAAATTGCTCTTAACGAGAAAAACGTTTTGGAAACCCGTAAAAACGATTTAGACCAGTTCATCAACCATAAATATGTGTGTGTGTGTGTGTGCGCGCGCGCACCCGCGTGTGTGTAAAAATATGCACAAAGGCTGTACTATATGTTTATGACTCGGTGAATGTGTATGCATGTATACATACACCCCCACACAAACACACACACAGATATATATATATATATATATATATATATATATAGAGAGAGAGAGAGAGAGAGAGAGAGAGAGAGAAAGAGAGAGAATTATATATATATATATATATATAGAGAGAGAGAGAGAGAGAGAATAAAAACACTCCCCAGCTTCGGTGAACTGATTTAAAATCTAACAACACCAAACGCCTCTGATAAAACAAAAAAGCAAACAGACAAAAAGTCGGACAGACACACTCTTGAGTTTGGACATTGAAGGTGATAAGCTAATCTTATTTAATTAGGTTTATGGTCACTACTTATCCTCAGAGATCCCAAGACAATTTTCTTACATTTTTGTCTTTATTGTATTCTAAACTGAAGAAGCCAAAGAAATACTATTATACGTCCTATAATATATGTGTGTGTGTGTGTGTGTGTGTGTGTGTGTGTGTGTGTGTGTGTGTGTGTGTGTGTGTGTGTGTGGGGGGACTGATATTTATAACTGCTTACATTTGTAAACATTTGATGGAAAGAAAATACGCATGCGCATATCCACACGTACAGTTGTATGTGTTTATCCTTTACATTTACACAGCAGCCGAGAGAACTCCGACAGCTGAACACTCAGGCTGAGTCTGACTTCCATACAAATAAAATATTCTTATTCTTATTACTACTACTACTAATGGTTGTGGTTTACCTTGGGGGTGCTGCATCTGAAGAATATAGGACACAGACAGGAATTATATTTAATCAAAATACTGTACTAAATAGGTCACTTTTACTTATCTCCCTTAAACAGGACAGACACCACCTCTTCCAATTCCAAGATGAAGCATCAACATGACAGCGTGTTTATGCCATTTGGGAGACATTTGAGTAATTTGTTTTTGCTTTTTTGCCGATAGGAGCGCATTATCCCATACATACATCCACAAACCTACAAACACACACTTGTCGAGTAAATTAATCGATGTAAAAATGTTGTCCATTTGGTTCGATTTGTTTCTTTTCCTATGCATAGACAAAGAGAGTTATTTTCATGTTGCTTTTCCTTTGAGGATAATGTAAACGTTTAGTTAATTTTTTCTGTTGGTCTTACGCTAAAAATTAAATTTTAAGTATTTTCTTTTTCTTTCATAACATAGAACTATAGACGTTATAAAAGAATAGGAGACAATGAAGGCTTCTGCAGATTTCATTTTGTTACATAACAAACGAATGATCCATATCAAGCCATCCAACGAAACATGATGTGCATCCACAGATCTCAATCCCATAAATTAAACAGATTTTATAATATTAAGAAAATCTTACTATTAAAAATTTTTTTTACATAATAATGTCCGCCAGGACAAGGCCAAAAGCGCCACTCAAAATAGAGATTTACAGAGTAAGAGGCACAGTTTATGAGTATATGTGCGGAAAATAACGGTTAACTCTAGACTTGAACATGTTAAGATTGTAATGATCGGGAAAGTATCATCTTGGGAGTGGGCTCCACAAAGTAACGAGAAGAAGCAGTTCGAGTGGAACTCACATTTCACCAATGGAATACGAAAAGAATGAGGGTGGTCGGCTACAATGTGCGGTTCTTTGCAGTAAAAGTAGAATATTAGAGTGCTCAGAATCTAATTACGTTTTTACTGGAAAGATGAGAATAAGGCTGTATCTGTTTAAATAAAATTTATCAAAAATGTTCAACTAAAATACTAGTCTGTTAAAGAGAAATGCATGTGCTTGAATAAAAGCAACTGGAATAAAAATTAAAACTAAAAACACTGAAACTGAGCTGCATTGGAGAAAGAAAATCTATGAGACGGAAACTAGTGTGGATAGAATGGCATGCTTGCCCTCCGGTACGGATATAGAGTAAGCACGACTTACCTTAAAGAAAAAAAAACGTCTAGTTTTCCAAATGTAAGATCACAAAAGATTTCTTTTGGGAGTTTAGGGAATAAATTTCGAAATATATTTAAGGACTTTAATCTCGGTATGATTTCTTATATATCACTAAAATTTAACTCGGTATTCGGTTTGCTTAATTTTAATGTAAGAGTCACTACTCAGGCGGTTGAAATGTTTGCTTAAATGTTAAATGATTTCATCTAATAAATAAAATAGAAAGAAATTTCAATCTAATGAAACTTCTAGTCGAATTGATAGAATGCAAATGGTGGAATGCAGTGGAAACAATTTAGTAACTCTGTTGGTTTACATTTTACTTTTTTTTTTCTTTTTTCTTTCTTAATTTGACTTCATTTATAGACTTACTTAAGATTTATGTCAAATTTGAGTATAGTTATTTATAAACAAGTTGCTTGTATGAGGATCCGACAACCTCATTCAGTTTTTATGTTTGCGTCGTATTTGACACTTCAGTCTCACTAGTGACCTGCATACAAGTTCACATATTGTGTACAGCGAAGATCTTGGAACATAGCCACAGGAATATTTTCTGATATTTTTTGCGTTGTCTTTCGTCTCTTCGCCAGTCTATACGATTGATTTCAAAATTTTTGATACCACTCTAGCACAAATATCTCCAGTTATTTGTATCCAGGGCCACTCGCTCGAAGTTAGTATGAGGCACATCGACATCTGAGAGGTTATTCTTTAGATTGTCTTTAAATGTGAGCCACGGCCGTCCAACAGTCTTCTGTCAAGCTGGCTATACATGAGGACCTATGGTATTCTGTCGTCACTCACACTTGCAACATGACCAGTCTAAAAAAGTTGTGACTTTATTGCGAAATTCTCTCTTCCACCAATGTTACATTTTGCGAGATCATCATTGAACACCCTATCATCAAAAGTATAGCTACAGATCGCGAGGATACAACTTCTGTGGAAATTATTCACTGATATGGGACTTATATAGAGTCCGTGATTCAGAGTTGTACAACAGTGTAGTCAAAACGGCTGTTCTATAAACCCGTATTTCGGTGTCCAATTTGATACCCCTTTTCATTCTAGGTGGTGACAAAGCTTCCCAAATTCACTTGTATTGTAGCTTTGGTGATCCTATTTAATTTTTCGTTCACACACACACACACACACACACACACACACACACATATATATATATATATATATATATATATATATATATATATATATATATATTAATAAATATACATATTACCTTACGTCAAAAGTACGACTCGGAGGGTCATATTCAATATAATCTGTAGTGTAATAATGCAGCAATTATTCGTTTAAACATTGTTTTAAATCAAACTTTATTCAAATCAATATTATTTCTTTTATGTCTATTAAGCTTAAACAACTTGCTAATGATCACCTATTATTGATTCATGTGACTCGAAAGCTCGGACACGGAAATTATAAAGAATTTAGAAATTTAGTACGACAACAGCATCCAGCTTTAAAAATTAACATCTCAAATGAAAACAGCAATTTTGTCTTTGGAAATAATAAACTCTGCAATATTTGTCTTGAAAAAAAAATACACTGATGATGACATTGTGCTAATATCGAAAGTACTCGGAATAAATAATACGTATCAATACGGTAATTTTCTCTCTTCCTTTAATAATGACACCAAAAAGCTTGCCCGTAAATATGAAAGGATCAAATTGGAAAAAAATAAACAAAATTTGTTTAAATTATTTAATGAAATATATCTCAATGAAAATATGCTGCCAAAACATAAGCAGTTTATATATATATATATATATATATATATATATATATATATATATATATATATATAAAAAAAATTGTGAAAAAGTGAAGAAAGTAATAAATCATCAAACTCTTCTTAACGAGGTATATATATATATATATATATATATATATATATATATATATATATATATCCTAAAAATAAGGTCATTTAAGGTATACTGTATTATAGGTAAAAGTAATCAATATCAGGTTAGAGTTTATGTAAATATAAAAGTGGACACTGAAG